ATGCCTACAGTGTTTCATCTTCCTCTGCTCATGAAGACAGTGACCAGTAGGCCACCAAGAATTCATCCTCTTCGTTAATATTGAATGTCTGAAAACAAAATAGCTACTTCATGGAACATACGCATATGGGTCTGTTCTTTTAAAGAAGTGGAAATTTAGAAGAATTTATTTAAGTTTAATTGCATTCAGGCTTCCAGTTAGGGAATGAAGAAGTCACAGGAATAAAAGGCACAGTGTAGGGAATACAGTCAGTGGTGTTTTAATAGTGTTGCATGGTGACGGCTGGTAGCTACACTTGTGGGCCTCACAGTGTAATGTAGAGACTTGTTGAATCACTGTGTTGTATACCTGAAACTCATGTTTCAAATCTACTGAAATAAAAATCAATAAATAGACTTAATGGCATTCAGTGGATTATATGTTTGTTTTGAGAAGTTGTAAATGCATAGTCCTGAGGCAGCAATATGGAACAGCATGACAATTATGACACGTCGTGCTTAGGACAGTTACTGAAGGGATGCCTAGGTGGCTCAGCCGGTTGAGCGTCCAACTCTTTGTTTCATCTCAGATCATAATCTCATGGTTTGTGAGTTCGAGACCCACATGGGGCTCCAAGCTGACAGTGTGGAGCCTGCTTGGAATTCCCTCTCTCCCTCTCTCTCTGCCCCTCCCCCACTTGTTCTCTCTGTCTCTCTCTCTCTCTCTCTCTCTCATAAATAAATAAATAAACTTGAAAAAAATTAAAGAGTTACTGAAACTTAAGGGCACCCGGGTGGTTCATTGGTTGAGCGTCCAACTTCGGCTCAGGTCATGATCTCACATTTTGTGAGTTCAAGCCCCACATCAGGCTCTCTGCTGTCAGTGCAGAGCCTGGATGCTGCTTCAGATACTCTGTCCCCCTCCCTCTCTGCCTCTCCCCTACTCTGTCTGCGTGTCTCTCTCAAAAATAAATCAAACGTTTTTAAAAAACTAGATTTAGATCTTAAAATGTGTTTTTGGGTTTTAACAGTAGTTTGAGTGACCTAGTTTACCATTCACGGTTGCGTTTTTGTAAGGCTTACATAATCGTTGCTTAAATTAACCATCAGATTAAGAAAGGCCAGTAGAAGGGGCGCCTGGGTGGCTCAGTCGGTTAAGTGTCCGACTTCGGCTCAGGTCATGATCTCACGGTCTGTGAGTTCAAGCCCCGCGTCGGGCTCTGTGCTGACAGCTCAGAGCGTGGAGCCTGCTTCAGATTCTGTGTCTCCCTCTCTCTCTGACCCTCCCCTGTTCATGCTCTGTCTCTCTCTGTCTCAAAAATAAATAAACATTAAAAAAAAAATTTAAAAAAAGAAAGGCCAGTAGGAGGCCAAATCCAGATTAATCATGAAGAGGGATAATGAAGAAGCAAAAGCAATTGAAGGGTCAAGGGTGAAAATAACGAATAGAAAGGATAAGAGAGACAATGTCTTGTGAAGGAGAGCTGTAATACGAAACAGGATGACCCTTTTATTGATTGCAAATCTGTATGAAAATTTCTCTAAAAGAAAAAAAGTTTGGTGCACGTATCTCACCATCCGGGTGGTAAGTGATGGAGCCGGGATTTGAATCACATCTGACTGGAGAAGCCACAGTTCTTGTCTCTTGTGGATACTAGAGCCTCCTCTCACCAGGTGCAGGTGTAATTCTTATGATTTTCCTTTTGGATTCTTTTGAGAACAAAGTAACTCCTGGAGGGTCTTCTGTGCACCACGCTAATGTAAATATTTGGCCTCCCCGAATGCCATTTGTGATCAGTGCAAACCATGAGTATTGTTGCTGGTAGATGTCTGATTGCACCTTCAAGGCCTGGACTCTGAGGCTGACCAGGATGTCCTTGATCTCCCCAGGAGCCGAGGTGACCTACATGAACATGACCGCCTACAACAAGGGCCGGCTGCAGTCTTCCTTCTGGATCGTGGACAAGCAGCATGTTTACATCGGCAGTGCCGGCTTAGACTGGCAGTCACTGGGGCAGGTAATCCTTGCACATCACATGAACTCTGAGTTCCCTCGGCATCAGAGGTGCCAGCTTCATAAAGCGCTTGGGCACCCATAGTGTGGCTGTGGGAAATAAAACCTACAGCATTTTTTATTTTTAACTGTGTAGTTTTAAGAGGCTGGCCTCTGTTTAATGCAAAATGAGACACCTTCCTTGACAGCATCATCCACCCCAAATCCTACCCTTGTGTCTGTGCTTTTGTAATTCAGATGCTACCTCCAGATTCTGGAGAGCAGGATGGCACGTGATTTATGGTATCCGGGCCTAAATGTTCAGCATGGGGTCACAGAATCTGTGAGACAGAGGAAAACATAACTTCAGCGGAGGGTAGTATGTTTGAGAACAGTAATCGTTTGTGTTATTCCTTTAATAAATATATTAACATGAGGATGTCATCTTCCTCTTTGTGAATAGTTCGCTTCAAATATCTTGAAGGTTCACTTGATAAATCTGTAATGTTCAGGTATTTATTTGTGCCAGCGCGATCCACAGAGGATTGCAAATCACCTTCTTCCCACCAGTCAACTGATGACGGGAAGTTCTCCGTCCTGGGGTGCATAGGAAGACTGGCCGGTCAACCATGCATGCTAAGCGGCCCATACGTGCTTTTAGCTGAGCTCTTTTAATATTCAGATCACTGGAATTACCAAGTGAATTGTACTGCATTTCTTATGGGAAAGAAAGTAGGGATGTACAGATAGACACAAGGCCGTAACTTGTAAAGAAAGACATCACCACATAGGATAAATCTGAGAGAAGGTAACTTGATATTTGTACTGGTGGATTCAGGGATTTAATTATCCCCCCCCCCCCCCGATTTCCACTGTTGTCCTCTTGTCCTTAAAATGCCACACCTTCCTTTCTTTGGGTTCAGGCAGGTAACAGTGGCAGCTGTAAAAGAAATATACAGCAGGCAAACTAAATACTAAAAGTCCACTTACTTCCCTCTCCAGGGAATAGACAGTATAGAGCCAAAGTACAATCTATCTAAGGTTGTTTTGTTTAGTTTTATATTTAAAGGATAGTCAGTAATCCAGTCTTGAGGGTCAAACCACTGTTGTTTCTTTTTTTTTTTTTTTTTTTTTTACATATAAAAAGACATTAGGATGAAGAATCTCTGTAACCAGTCAACAAAAGATATTTTCCTAGGGTACATATAAAACCAATTATTTTAAGCTAAACATTGGAACTTCCATGTATGCCTGTAATAAACAGGGACATGTTGGATATGACTATTTATCTGTCGGGTATAAAATAAGATAAAGCTTAGGTCTTCTTACAGGGGAGATAGATGGAAGTTGATAGAAAAAACATAATTCTTTTTTATAACGTTTTGTGTTTTGTTTTTGTTTTTGAGAGAGAAGCGTGAGGGGAGAGGGACAGAGAGGGAGACACAGAAGAAGAATCTGAAGCAGGCTCTCCAGGCTCTGAGCTGTCAGTACCAGAGCCTGGCAGGGGCTCAAACTCATGAACCGCCAGAGTCATGGCTTGAGCAGTCTTAACCAACTGATCCACCCAGGTGCCCCAAGAGAGACATATCATTATTAGTGGGAGGCTTCCACAAACTATATGCAGGCAAATATTTTTCAGCTGATTTAGGACACGGCATTACGGTTGTTTGTTGTATCCTGAAATGGAAACTATAACGGCCCCTCTTGAGGTTCGCGGTAAGCCCAGCTGTGTTGGTGCCTGGTGCATGTAGTGTTGAGTGGATATGTTATAATACTACTTGTTGCTTGATGTCTGTCTGCGTGGTACCAGGGCTTTTACACATGTGTATGGCCCCCAGCACAACTGTGAAACCATTCATGCCTTGGCCTTCGCGAGTTCCCTGATACAGCGATGGGGACTCTCCTCCTGATCTTTTCGGATACTTGGGTAACTTGCTGCTATGTAAAACAATCTCCAATTGGTTTAAATATCACACTTTGTTGTGGGCCTGGACTTGAAATCACTTTAGAGTGCGTGTGTTGCTACTGTCATGTAATAATTATCTGGTATATATCAGGTTTCTGATATTTGTAATATATCAGATATATATGTGGTATATATCTGGTATACCTGGTATATATCAGTAAAAGGTTTTACTGAAAGTTTCTGTTCCTTAACATAGAATAATTATAGGCCTCAACCAACTAACTGTGGAGGCTCTGGCTGGACCATCACAAAAAGCCCCATGGTCCTGAAATCACAGTCCTTGGAGATAGAGTACCAAGTAAGTGTAATGAAATCCTTTGAGGGGGCAGTGGCGTACTGCACTGTGGCATCGAGTCAAAAGGGATGGTCCCAGTGGTCCCCTCCCATACCCAGTGTTCCCTCAAATGGACCAGTGACACTGGGGCTCCAGCTTGAACCCTGAATGAGAACAGATAGGGATCTAATAAAAAGGAAACAATGCAATGCAAAGTAGCGATTAGTTCTTGGTCAAATTTCAGGCAGTGCAGGCTGTAGGAGGTGAGCCAGCTGGGGTCTGAAGGGTTACAGTTGTTTCTGGTCAGAATAAGAAGGCAGGTGAAGGCCTGGAGACCTGTTGAAGATAAAACCTGAGGAGGCAAACACAAGACCACCTTCATTCTCTTCCTTCCAGAGATGAAAGATGCTTCCCTCAGTGCTGCTCCAGTCTAGTGCTGTTGAAGGGCATAGCCAGGAAAGTAGCCTGGATCTGTGTTGTCAATTGACTTGTGTCCCCCCAAAAAGACATGTTGAAGAAGACCTAATGCTGCGGCCCCTTAGAATGTGAGCTTTATTTGGAAGAAGGCGTTTGGGGATATAATTAGTTAGATACACTTGTGTGAAGTGGGCCTACCAATATTCAACAGGATGTCCTTATGAGCACAGGAGAAACTAGAGACGGGGAGACTCATGTAGGCAACAGGGTGGGTATGTGATTGGAACATCAGACATTGCCAGAAGGTGGGAAGAGACAAGGAAGGACTCTCCCCTGCAGGCTCCCTGCCAGCACCTTGATTCTGGACTTTACCATCTCCAGGAGACTATTAGACTTCTGTTGTTGTTTTAACCCGATTCACTGTGTTACGGCGGCCGTAGGAAGGGACACTTCCCGAGAAGATACCTGCGCTGCTCTTCATCCACCTGGGGCCTGGCAGCTGTGTCTTTGGGGACACGGGCACACCATCTGTGCAGATGTAGATTCTCTCCAGTTGCCAATGTGGCAACCACCCGTTGGACATTGAGCCCACTCTGCCCAACTGTTCATTCTCTGGGGCCTGTAACCATTCCTTGAGACTATTCCAGGGTGGCTGGAGGCCAGGAAATCTGGCTAGCCCCCCCGCCCCGGCCTCCCGGTCCTGCTCCAGCCCCATAGCCCCTCTCGACATCCCTGCCTCAGGGCCCAGGTTCTCACTTGCCTTTTCCCAGAGTTACAGGTGAGCTCATATATAAACCACTGGAGTCCTTTCTGATATCCTGGAATATATCCATATGCCCCTCTGATTGTTTCATCTTCCTGCTCATGAACAGTGACCAGTAGATACAAGAATTCATCCTCTTAAAGTTAATATTGAATGTCTGAAAACAAAAATAGCTACTTCACATGGAACATACGCACTCCAACTAGATTGTTCTTTTTTTAAAAGAAGTGGAAATTTGAAGAAGAATTTATTTAAGTTTAATTGCAGGCTTCCAGTTAGGGAATGAAGAGTCTGGGAATAAAGGCACAGTGTGGAATACAGTCAGTAGTGTTTTAATAGTGTTGCATAGTGGCGGCTGGTAGCTACACTTAATGGGCCTCACAGTGTAATGTAGAGACTTGTTGAATGCTGTGTTGTATACCTGAAACTCATGTTTCAAATCTACACAAAAATAAAAATCAATAAATAGACATGGCATTCAGTGGATTATATGTTTTGTTTTGAGAAGTTGTAAATGCATAGTCGAGGCAGCAATATGGAACAACATGACAATTATGACACATCGTGCTTAGGACAGTTACTGAAGGATGCTAGGTGGCTCAGCGGTTGGCGATCAACTCTTTGTTTCATCTCAGATCATAATCTCATGGTTTTGTGAGTTAGAGACCCACATGGGGCTCCAAGCTGACAGTGTGGAGCCTGCTTGGAATTCCTCTCTCCCTCTCTGCCCCTCCCCACTTGTTCTCTCTGTCTCTCTCTCTCTCTCTCTCATAAATAAATAAATAAACTTGAAAAAATTAAAAAAAGAGTTACTGAAACTTAAGGGCACCGGGTGGTTCATTGGTTGAGGCGTCCTTGACTCAGGTCATGATCTCACATTTTATGAGTTCAAGCCCCATCAGAATGTCTCTGCTGTCAGTGCAGAGCCTGGATGCTGCTTCAATTCTCTGTCCCCTCCTGCCTCTCCCCTACTCTGTCTGCGTCTCTAAAATAAATCCAAGCGTTTTTAAAAGCTTAGATTTAGATCTTAAAATGTGTTTTTTGGGTTTTAACAGTAGTTTGAGTGACCTGGTTACCATTCGCAGTTGCGTTTTTGTAAGGCTTACATAATGCGTTGCTTAAATTAACCATCAGATTAAGAAAGGCCAGAAGGGGCGCCTGGGTGGCTCAGTCGGTTAAGTGTCGACCCGGCTCAGGTCGCCGATCTCACGGTCTGTGAGGATAAACCCAGCGTGGGGCTCTGTGCTGACAGCTCAAGAGGCGTGGAGCCTGCTTCCCGAATTCTGTGTCTCCCACTCTCTCTCTGACCCTCCCCTGTTCATGCTCTGTCTCTCTCTGTCTCAAAAAAATAAATAAAGCATTAAGTATTTAAAAAAGAAAGGTAAGGGTAAATCCAGATTAATCATGAAGAGGAATGAAGAAGCAAAAGCAATTGAAGGGTCAAGGGTGAAAATAGCAGGAATAGAAAGGATAAGAGGAGGCAATGTCTTGTGAAGGAGAGCTGTATGTCACAATGGGATGACCTTTTGGCCAGGTGCAAATCTGTATGAAAATTTCTCTAAAAGAAAAAAAAGTTTGGTGCATTATCTCACCATCGTTGGTAAG